GGGGTCTGGAGGGCTGGATAGGCCGTGCCTAAACAGCAAATTTTATTTTTCAAAGGCCAGGAATAAATACACTTTCTTTGCTCTGGTTTACGTCATTGCAAGAGGAAATGCAAATCTATGCCTTACATGGCCTATACAATAGAGAAGTCAGATACACAATCAGTGGTTGTAAAAAGTAACAGAATTTCCTATGATCACAAAGCTTGTTTACATCCAGACATTACTTCTCCTGGCTGCAGGTATTTCTCGTTTGATCTTGTTTTAGAACTGAGATGTGAAAAGGTTTTCTGGTTTTGCTCATCAGAATATCTTTTAACCAGATTCTCCTTTGTCTGTTCCTGACTCAACTTATCTCAACTTCCCCATTCAGGAGTCTCTGAGTCAGGGATGAAAGGCATGCCTTATGGTGGCATTTGCTTTGCAAATATCCCCACAGTTAAGCCATTATCTAGGGTACAAGGCAGTCAGGCAAGTAAAGAAAAGGTTAAAGCTATTAAAAGTTAAAAGCAGAAACTGGTTGCTGGTAGGGAGTCACTCAGTCTAGCAGCACCGCATAGTTTTAGGCCCAAACGATATTGTGGTTGATATTAGAAACTGATCATCCATCTTCCAGTTCCTTTTTCTGATAGCTCCACTGCCTCCAGTAGGAAACTGTGTTTGGGATCAAACTCACCGTATAGTGAGACCCATGCCTTTTGGGGGTCTCACACGGGAATGTTCCCCACACAGTAGGTTTAATTAGATATCAAGTAGTCAAACCCAATACTGCTCTTCCCACAGACCGTGAGTCCCAAGGCAAGCTCTCCAGGCAGCCAGTGAGGAAGACCTGGCCCGTCCTGTCTTAGTCTGTTTGCATTGCTGTGAAGGAGTGCCTGAGGCTGTGTAACTCTAAGGAGGTTTACTTGGCCCCTGGTTCTGCAGGCTCTGTGGGAAGCATGGTGCTAGCAGCTGCTTGTGGTGTGGGGGCCTCAGGCTGCTTTCCGTCACGGCAGAAGGCAGAGACAGACAGACAGACAGACAGACAGATAGATGGACACTGGCCTCATCACCCAAACACCTCGCATTAGGCTCCACCCCAACACTGGGGATCCCATTTCAGCATGAGTTTTGAAGGCTCAGATATCCACAGTGTAGCAGCCCCCATCTCCTAGGGCAGTGGAGTGGGTCCGAAAGCCACCAGGGTGTAAAAGTGAGGGTTATGCTTTTCTCTGCACGCTCAGAGATGCATACATGATCTTGTTCTGCTTGTTGCTCCTCAGCCTGCAGATCCTGGCGTGAGTAACTTGGCTTTTCCATCGCCACGCCGTACCCATCTGTTTTCCTCAGACTGTTCTTTACTCGAAGTTTTGGGTGAAGAACATGCTGCTTCTGATAAGTGGAGCTGGGGCTGAGGGTGAGAGTGGAGGAGAAGGTGGCAGACAGCCGTGGTGCGAAGGCAAAGCTTTTCAGATGATGGTGCTGCGCTCAGGAACGAAGTTGGGGCGAGCCTTCGGGAGACCAGACTAGACGGGTATGGGATGAAGTGGGGCGGTCACAGCACAGAACAGCAGACAGAGGCACCTGGCGCCCGAGTGAGGGCTCGGGGTCCTGGAGGTGAGCCCCGTCCAAGTCACCAAGACCCTTTCTGTCACGGCGCAGGTTTCAGCTCTGTAGTTGACTCGGGAAGTTACCCAGGACTGCTTCCCTCAGAGGAGTTTTGTTTGTTTGTTTTTGTTTGTTTTGAGACAGATTCTCTGTCACCCAGGCTGGAGTGCAGTAGCGCGATCTCAGCTCACTGCAGCGGCTGCCTCCAGGGTTCAAGCGATTCTCCTGCCTCAGCCTCCCGAGTAGCTGGTATTACAGGCATGCACCACCAAGCCCAGCTTATTTTTGTGTTTTTAGTAGAGACGGGGCTTCACTGTGTTGGCCTGGATGGTCTCAAATTCCTGACCTCAAGGGATTGATCTGCCCAGCTTGGCCTCCCAGAGAGCTGGGATTACAGGCATGAGCCACCGTGGCTAGCCTCCTCAAAGGGTTTTATCTGGTGAAAATGAGAACTTTTATGTGAAAATACCATCAAGCATCACAGTTTTAAGGAATGTTGAAGTCATGATAATGAGCTGCAGCAGGCATCCTCTCATTCCATTCCCAAACCAGATCTCCCCTCAATGTTTCAGGACTGTTTTGCTGAGTAATAAAATATTAAAATATTTTCAAAAGCTGTTGTCACGAAGACAAGATTTTATCTAAAACTTCTGATTCAGCGGACTAACTTTTTAAATATTAAAAAGAAAGTCCTTTGAAGTAGCTGCTGCATCCATGGTTGTGTGACTCACACATCATAAGCAGTATTTAAACTGAGGTAGAGTACCCTTTTATGACTAACGTGGCTTATCAGTAAATCATCTGCATGTTGCTCATGCACTTGGGTAAAGTTAGCAGTTTTTCATCCATGCTTTTATAATGATTTTTTGAACCATCTCATTATTTGTCTATTTTATTCACCTTAAGCTCTGTGACTGAGCAGAAGGTGCTTGCTGCCTGATGCTCTAGAAGCCGGTATTTGAGGGGGGAAAAGCTTTTTGATTGCAAGTCAACTAATACAGAGACATTAGTCCAGCTCAAACTTGTCTCCCTGTGCGGTCTTTAAGGTGGTGATTTTATTAGAAAAGGTGTAGGGGATAGATTCTCGGGTTAGTTAATGAGTGGTGGAAGGAAAGGGGGGTCTGGACAGTCCTCGGACAGGTGCAGTTGTCTGTTTCATCGCGCTTCCTCGTGGACTGCATATGCACATTCACAGGGCGTCAGTATGAAACATGGTGGAAGTTCGGGCTGTGACGTCAGCAAGCTCTTTCTGTGCAGACTCCATTGGCCATGTTGGGTCCAACCGATTTCAGCCATTTTTTTTTTTTTAATCTCACAAGCCGAGGGAGTTTTGGCGTTTTACTGAGTTGTTTCTTTTCTTACACTGCCATGCAGCAAATGCAAAAATTTCTGTTAGTCATTGGTTTCTTGAACTCTCTAGGGCGCAGTTTCAGCTCCCACCCAGTTTAATGGATTCTCTAAATCACTGGGCAAACCGAGAAGATTCCCTGGCTTAGTGTAATTAAGCCGGGTACTGTGGTTTATATCCCACGAAGGCCATCTCACTGTAGTGCACTGGTCACCTTTTTGAACAGCTGTCTAGAGTTGAGTGTTTGGCACAGCTCATTTGAGTCTTCATCCAAATCCCAACTCTGCCATCAGGGTCAGGGTCACTGTGCTCATTTGTGGGTTTTTAATTCAGTATCAGCTGGGTGGGTGTGGTGGCTCACACCTGTAATCCCAGTACACGGAAAGGTGAGATGGGCAGATCATTTGAGGTCAGGAGTTGAAGACCAGCCTGGTCAACATGGCGAAACCCCTTCTCTACTAAAAATACAAAAAATTGCCTAGTGTGGTGACATGCACCTGTATTCCCAGCTACTTGGGAGGCTGAGGTAGGAGAATCACCTAAACCCAGGAGGTGGAGGCTGCTGTGAGCCAGGATCGTGCCACAGCACTCCAGGCTGGGTAACAAGAGCCAGACTGTCTCAAAAAACAGAACATAACAAATGTCATTCTGCATTCTCCAATTTGTCTGTGGTGTGTGTGTCCTGTCTCTATATGTGTTTGTGTGTGTGTGTGTGTGTGTGTGTGTGTGAGAGAGAGAGAGAGAGAGAGAGAGAGAGAGAGAGAGAGAGAGAATGTGTATGAGGGGTACACATGCCTTTCTCCCCACTCCCTCCTCCTCAGTTATTTCCCACTTAGTGGAATCATATCTGGGATATTCAAAGAACTTGTTGAGAAACGTCTGATTTGGGGGTATTTGAAGAGTCCACAGAGTTAAGATTTATTTCAAGAAATAAGATAAATCTTTTATTATTAGCAAATTAATAATTTACCATTATGTAATTTACCAAATAGATAGGAAATTTTGGATCTTGTATGCCTGGGCTGTCAGGTGGAGTCCAAAAGAGTTAGACAGTTCATCTTTCTGCAGTTGTACTTACGAGAAATTTCTAGTTGGTGAAATATATATGTGTTTATGTAGTTGTGTGTAAGGGTATATAGGTACATACGCAAATGTATTTCCCATTCAGTATGATTGTTTATACAACCACATGCAAAGTGCCTTACAAAATGAACTCCTCAAAGAATAATTTTAGGTCAGGTGTGTAGTGTCTCACACCTGTGATCCCAGCACTTTGGGAGGCTGAGGCAGGTGAATTGCCTGAGGCCAGGAATTCAAGACCAGCCTGGCCAACATGGCGAAACCCCATCTCTATTAAAAATTAGCCAGGCATGGTGGCAGGTTCCTGTAATCCCAGCTACTCGGGAGGCTGAGGCACTAGGTGATCTTGAACCCAGGGGTCGGAGGTTGTGGTGAGCTGAGACCGTGCTACTATACTCCAGCCTGGGTGACAAAGCAAGACTCTGTCTCAAAAAAAAAAAAAAAAAAAAAAAAAAAAGGAATAATTTTAAAGGGATCCTCATTTGGCAGTTTAAGGAAAAAGTTTGCCAGCCTCAATCTCAATAATACTAGAAAATGGAACCTCAGCTTATTTTCCCAGTGAATCAGTTACTTGGTCAGTGAATTTTTATGAGTGTCCACTGTGCCCCTGTTATTGTCCTAGAGGGCGATAAGTTCTTCAGAATTCCTCAGTTATGGTGCACAGATGAATCTGAATCAGAAGACATACTATTGATTCAAATACATTATTGTGACCAGACGGCACAGACTGACACGTAGAACGCACAGGTGCCTGAGCCCCAGCAGCACCGTAGAGTAGGCAAGAGCATCAGCCTTCCGTCTTTGTCAGTAGCTACTCTGTGATCTCCTGAGCAGGTGTTATCATCTCAACATCCACTTCCTTCCCTTTAAAATACGGACTGGATTGCGCTGGATGACCTCAAGAAGGCTTTCTGGCTCTGAAAGCCTTCCTCTGTGACGTGCGTGTATGTCTGTAGTCTTCTCTCTGACGGTTGTACTGTTTCCACAGGGTGTTACCTACTGTGGAGAAAGTTCAGCAAGCAGTCTTACCATGGCCCACGTGCCCTGGCATGAGGAAGTGGTACAGTTTGTCCTCGAGCTGGTGGATCTGATCCCCGACTATGAAATTGCATGTGAACACGAACACTCTAATTGCCTCCTGATAGCGCACAAAAAGGTAAGCCTAACTCAAACGTGCGTTCTCCTGTCCTCCACCCTGCTGTTCTGCCCTTCTCCGTATTTTCTTCTGACTTTGTTGTAGGGATTATCTGCTTGTTTGCTGCCTTTCGTAAAACAAACATTAGAAAGTCCTAAATTCTGTCTGCTGGGCTCATGAACTCTTCTCTGTGTGAAATTGCTTCTTGTTTAGCCCTCATCTGGATATCTTGAAGTACTTCCTGGTTTGCAATTTTTACAAGGTGCATTCTAACAAAACAAGAGCACAATATCCTTGTAATAACCTCTAGTTCTTTCCTGGAAGGACAGGGAAAAGCTAAAATAGTTAATAGTCCCCATATGAGTTTCTAGCTGTCAGAAGCAGTATTGAGGTATCAAATTTTAGATTGCTTTGAATCTTGGCATCTGGAGAATTTTGTGTAAGATTTTAGTTTAAAACACTATTTCCATTTTTCCCCTTCAGTCCTTTTATTAGACAGAACAAGTACACAAATCTACTATCTTTCTTAACTAAATAACTCCTACTAAAGGAAAAATCCAGTTCTTGATAGAGGTAGGCCACTAAAATAATTTGTTAATTTTCTGGAGAAGTTCTGGAAATTTTCTTAGTCTTTATTTCTTTAAATACTTATTCTTTCTCATTATTTTTTCTCCTCTAGGACTCCAGTGAAACATATGTTAGATTTCACTATGTATTTTTTATATCTCTTCCCTTCTCATTTGTATTTTTATGCTTTTGTCTCTCCATATTTAGTTTTGGATAGTTTCTACTGATTGATATTCCAGTTCACTAAGTCTTGTTTCGGCTGTGTCTCCTATGCTGTTAAACTCAGCCGTTAATTTTTAAATTTTACATTTCATGTCTTTAAATTGTATAATTTCTGCTTGGTTTGTTTATTTTCAAATATCCTATTTTGTATAGTTTCTATTTCACTGCTGAAGTTTCAAGCTTGGCTTTTATCTTCTTGAGTACTGGAAGCGAGTTGTTTTATGGTTTGTATCTGATAACTCCAATGTGTAAAGTTCCTGTGGGCTTGTTTCTGTTGTCTGTCGTTTCTGCAAGTTCTCATTCCTGCTGCCTGGTTTTCTCCTGCACCTTGTTACCTGTGACGGTGTTCTGTACATTGCATTTAGAAGAGTATTTCTAGAAATCAAGTCAAGCCTAGGAACAGAAGATCTCTTCTGAGGCGTTCGAGATACGTGATTTAACTCTCACTTTTTCCACGTGGAAACTGAGGTCCGAATGAAGAGACTGGCTTAAATGGCTTCTCTCCCTGTAGTCCACTGACCTTTTTTATGCTACAAGGTGTCTTTCGAAACCCTTGGCAATATTCAAAGGAACACTTGAAAGAAGACAATTTAATTTTAGTCCAGTACTTCACTCTGTAAGATTTCTCCTCTCATCCCGTGAGGATAGAGGACATGGACAGCAAACCACCTAATTCCAGCCGGTTCCGTTCTCGAGGTGTTTGTTGAATGCCTGCTGAGTTCTGGACAGCAGGCCCTGCAGCAAGGCACACCGTGCTCAGACATGCAGAGGGAAAGCCACGGGGTGAATCGAAAAGTAGACTTGGCGCGAATCTCACCCCACCACTTGTTAGCTTGGTGACTGTTCGGGTTCTTTCATGTTTCCGTAGTGGATGGAGAAGAAGAGGCTATGCATGGGGGGGCCGGGCGCGGTGGCTCACGCCTGTCATCCCAGCACTGTGGGAGGCCGAGGCGGGTGGTTCACGAGGTCAGGAGATCGAGACCATCCTGGTCAACATGGTGAAACCCCGTCTCTACTAAAAATACAAAAAATTAGCTGGGCATGGTGGTGCGTGCCTGTAATCCCAGCTAGTCAGGAGGCTGAGGCAGGAGAATTGCCTGAACCCAGGAGGCGGAGGTTGCGGTGAGCCGAGGTCGCGCCATTGCACTCCAGCCTGGGTAACGAGAGCGAAACTCCGTCTCAAAAAAAAAAAAAAAAAAAAGAAGAGGCTATGCATGGAGTCAGACTGACCTGGCTTCAGTCTCGACTTCAGTCTCTTCTTAGCTTTTCACCTGGAAAATGGGCATATTGCTAGCTAAGGCCATTGCTGTCTAACACTTCACAGCACCTGCCTCACAGCATGATTCAGTTGTTGCTGCTTTCGTTATTTTTATTTTTAGAAAACAAGCTGATTTGGTGTGTGCTTAATATGTGACCCACACTGTCAAGTCTATCTTTAAATGCTCACAGCTTCCCTGTAAGGTAGGTAGTATTGAGACCTCTGTCTTTTGTTTTTGTTTTTGTTTTCTTTGGACAGTGTCTTGCTCTGTTGCCCAGGCTGAAGTGTAATGGTGCGATCTTGGCTCACTGCAACCTACACCTCCTGGATTCAAGATATTCTCCTGCTTCACCTTCCTGGGTAGCTGGGATTACAGGCATGCACCACCACACCTGGCTAATTTTTGTATTTTCAGTAGATAGAGGTGGGGTTTCACCGTGTTAGCCAGGCTAGTCTCGAACTCCTGACCTCAAGTGATCCACCTACTTCAGTCTCCCAAAGTTCTGGAATTACAGGCGTGAGTCACCAAGCCCGGCCCAACCTCTGTCTGTGGATGAGGAACAAACACATAAAGGGGTTCAGTAACTTGCCCAAGAAGAAACAGCCAGTAAGGAGTCAAAATGGGATGCAAGCCCTGGCATAACTCCAGAGCCTGTACTCCCTTCTTTCCTTCCTTCTTTCTTTTTCTTTTGTTTTAAATTTGGAAATTATTTCAAATTTACAAAAAAAGTGCAATGAAAAAAAAAAAAAAAAACAGAACAAAGGACCCAGATTTGCAGAATCACCTGTTACCATCTGTCTGCCGTTGACTGGTTTGCGCGTGCACTCTCTCTGCTGTTCTTCCTCCCTCTCCCTCCCTCCTTCCCCTCTGCCCCCGCGTCCGTGCACACATCTGCTGTCTTTCCTGAGCCATCTGAAGAATCGGCATGGGTCATGGTCCTTTGCCCCTAAATGTTTCAGTGTGGACTTCTTCAGACTAGGAGTATCTCTCTCACAACCACAGTGCAGTTGCCAACTTCTGCGTGACCTTCGCCTACCATCCATATTCAGGTTTGTCAGTTCAGCTTGCGATGTCCTTTGTAGCACTTCCCCTCCAGTTCCTTCAGGATCTCCTCTGCAGGAGTCAGCACACTTTTTTTATAAAGAAAATTTGGGCTGGGTGCAGTGGCTCATGCCTATAATCCCAGCACTTTGGGAGGGAGGCTGAGGCGGGCACATCACTTGAGGTCAGGAGTTCAAGAACAGCTTGGCCAGTGTGGTGAAACCCCATCTCTACTAAAAATACAAAAATTAGCCAGGCGTGGTGGCAGGCACCAGTAATCCCAGCTACTCGGGAGGCTGAGGCAGGAGAATCGCTTGATCCCAGGAGGCAGAGGTTGCAGTGAGCCCAGGTCACGTCACTGCGCTCCAGCCTGGGCGACAGAGCGACTCCATCTCAAAAAAAAAAAAAAAAAAAAAAAAAGATGATAAAAAGTAAATATTTTAATTTTTATATAAAGTAAATATTTGAGGTTTGCAAGCCATATATAGTCTGTGTCAGATATGTCTAATATTTTTAGTATTTTGTATTTTTAGTATTTAGTAAAAAATATTTAATGTTTTTTATATTTTGTATCTTTGCTTGTGTACTCATTTTGCAACCTTTTAAAAATGCAACGACTGTCCATAAAAGAGGTCTGTGAGCTAAATGCAGCCAGACTGGGCCTTCCAGCCCGGTTAACCAGCCTCTCATCTCGGCCACATACTGCGTTTTCTTCTCATGTCTGTCTAGCCACCTTCAGTTTGGAGTATTTCCACACTTTCTTTGTCTTCTATAATGTTGATGTTTTAAAAGAACACAGTTTCATCCCTTCCCTTTCTTTTAATAGAAATGTTTCTTGTTGCAACACAGTGGCTTACACCTCTAATCTCAGAATTTTGGGAGACTGAGGCAGGTGGATCCCTTGAGCCCAGGAGTTGAAGACCAGTCTGGGCAACATAGTGAGACCCCATCTCTATTTAAAAGTAGAAAAGTTACCTAGGTGTGGTGGCACAAACGTGTAGTCCCCGTTAATTGTGGGGCTGAGGTGGGAGGATCATCTGAGCTGCAGGGAGCCGTTCGCCATGCCGTTGCACTTCAGTCTGGGCAGCAGAGCGAGACTATTTCAAAAAAGAAAAGCAATGGTTTTTGTTTTGTATTTGCCTGATTTTCCTTCGGTTAGATGGAGGTTGTGCGTCCTCAGGTGGAATGCTGCGTCTGCGACGTGTCCCTTTCCGTGTCGTGCCTGCTGCCTGGCGTCCGTGTCTCCCTCATTGTGGGGGTAATTTTGTTCACCCAGCTACTTTAACCCAGTTCTTCTGTTTCTCTCCTTTGCAGCTACTAAGCTGTCTGTTAAAAGGTACTTGAAGACAATGCAGTGTCTCACTTCTTACCAAAGTTTCCCCTAGATACAGCACTTACTGATGGTTCCTGCCTGATGAAATGTCTTATCGATTTTAAAGTATTGATTTCTTGTAACTGCACCACTCCCTCCACATTTACCTTCAGCATTCTACTGTAAACAAAAGCCCTCCCTTTCTTCCCATGTATGTATGTATTTGCTTGCAGTATGGACTCGGGAATTCTATTTTTTGTCCCAGTGGTTCATTAGTCATCACTGTACTTACTTTAAACCACTGTCCTAGACTCCCTGTTCCTTTCTCTCTGTCTCTCCATCACTCTAATTAAATCTCTTATGTCCTTATTCAGAATTGATACTAATAGTATTGCTTTCAAGGTCATTATCAAGATTAAAACTAACATATTTAAAGTACCTAGAAGGACTCCTGCCTGAGTGACAGACCAAGACTCCATCAAGAAGAAAGAGAAGGACAGAAAGGTGGGGGAAGAAAAGAGAGAGGGGAAAGAGAGAGGAAAGGAGAGAGAGAGAGAGAGAGAGAGAGAGAGAGAGAGAGAGAGGAAGGGGGAGGGAGGGAGGAAGGAAAGAAGGAAGAA